ATGGATTGAACTCAGGTCTTCAGGCTTGGCAGCAAGCATCCTTACCTGCTGAGCCATCTTGCTAGCCCACATTACATCCCTTTTCTTTTGTACATCTTTTCATGGCACAGTATTTCCAAATTCTTACTTTCAAATTTTGGTGTATAATTTTAATCCTTCCTCTAAATTCTTTGGATTTAACAAGTTCTCTTCCTAATCCCCTGAAGTAAATCATTTCCTATAGATTTTCAACCGACCTTCTTCTGACATACTCTTATGACAATAAAGTGCCCTCTTTGACACTATCTGCATCCTGCAACTCTGATTATAGCTCTCTCTATCTTTCAATTCAAACTGATTTTCATTTCTACTATGACTTCTCTGAGTCATTCAGAACTTTACTTCACAATTTTTCAGTGTTACCTTTTTCTAACTTGTTTCTGCTATGTTAAGAGAGATCCATGATTTCAAGCCTTTGTTTATGGCAAAATTTACTTCATGGCCCAGTATAGAGTCAATTTTGGTAATCGTTCAGTTTGTGCTGGGAAAGAAATGCATGCTCTGCAGTTCTCTTGTGTCATGCTCCATAGTTATAAACTGGGTCAAGTTTGCTGATCACGCTGTTCAACTCTGTATCTTTATGAATGTCCTCCACCAGTCACTTAGACAAATGTGCTAAAACTCCCAAACATCACTGTGGCTTCATTATTTCCTACTGACACTCCTGGTATTTTTTACATACAAGATATGGAAGGTTAAAACTGTCTTACTATATTCTTTTGTCCTGTTTTGAGTTTTCTTAAAAGTACACTCTGAGATGTAGACGTCTGGATAGGTAACTGGACTGACCTTAGAAAGCACAGTGAGGGGCAGGAAGAGCCATACAGGGTCTACGACCACAGTACAGCCTTTTCTAGTATGAACACAGTTATATTATCTTTCTCTTCAAGTGTCTGAGGGGCAGGTATTTTTATTTTGCCTTTTACTTTAGATCTTCATGTGCATTTACAATCATTAAGTAATTGTGATTCATTATTTTCATCTCGTTGGCTAATTTTTGTCTTTTAATTGAGTCAGTGGCTGCATTTACAATTAATGGATTTACCTGGATCTAAATTATTGTTTTATGTGCTATGTGTACCTAATAAGCCCTGCACCTTTTTTCCTCACTGCTTACCCTCTTTGGACTGACTCGGGGATCACAGACATAACAAGTCTAATGTCAGTTGGTTGCCTTTCCAATTCCCTGGTAATGCTGAGACTAAAATGTAATTTAATTCCATTCATCTCTAAACTGACTTAATTGTTCACCACAATACTGAATGGATGATAAGCTGCTATATCTGATCACTATCCCCTTAGATTTTCTTCCTGGAGCTCTGGCAGTCTATCTAGAGCTGCCATTAATACCTGAAGAATGTTCTTTCTTAATTGTTTATTTCATCTATTATGTGCAAGTGCTCATGCATGCCTATGCACGTAAGGGGGTCAGTGGACAGCTTGTAGAAGTCAGCAAGTACCTTACCAATGAGCTGTATCCCCAACCCTCCATAGTCACTTTAAATATCACTGATTTCTTTCAATGTGGTCTCAGTCTCCACAGCAACACTGGCACAGGGGTCATGTCCCCATTGGCACGGAACTAAGCCATAATCTCACAATCATAAAAGTGAGTTTCTTTTGTGGATTTTAACAAAATAAACCTAGACATCAATATATACAGTGGTTTTCAGAACCAGGAAATTGCTGTCACATCAATTACTTAGCATAACTGTTTCTGTCTTACCCCAGGAGAAGTGAAGGCACAGTAGCTCCCAGAAAAGGAGCATGCATCTACTCAAATTGTTTTACTTATTTGTCTGTTTGTTTATTGGGTATTTTTCCTGCATGTATCTATGCACCATATGCATGCATAGTGCCCATGGAGGCCAGAAGAAGGTGTCAGATCTCCTGGGACTGGAATTACAGACAGCTGTTAGCCACTGTATGAGTTCTCTGAAAGAACAGCCAGTGCTCTTAACCACAGACCTATCTCTCTAACCCCTCCAAACTATCGAGGGAAGAGGTTGTTGTTACTTGTTTTTTAATCCAATGTGACTATCATTTGGTATGCTTTCTCATCATCTTCCCTATCTTTGTGTAAATTGTATTCTAAAAGATCTAGTAAACTTTAGAATTAACTCTAGATTAGCAAATACCATTTGCAGAAAACTAAATTTGATATAGCTAATATTACTAAAGTACTATTAGACTCAAAGTGCAAATGGACAACCACTAGGACATAACTTGTTAATTCTTTGAAAATGTGATACATGTATCCAGTATCATCAACCAAATTACAATTTCATGTTGCCAGTTCTGGAAGTATACTGGGCATAGCAGTCAACTTGTATTGGCCTTGATGAGGGCAGATCCCACGTGGGCAAGTCTGGCAGGATGAGAATGAGGTTTGGGGCTAGCATATACCTACAGCCCTGTCCTTCCAAGACTAGTCTGAATGGAGACTTAGAGACAATGCTAGCGCCTGCAACACTTCCCGCTTCCCTTCCAGTATCCAGGGTTCTTCTGCTGTTGTACCAGCTAAGTTATGAGAAATAAATCGGGAAACAGTCTTAAATCCCCCCTACACTACCAATATCAGTGGGAGGTGAGACTGCAAATTATTTTATTTTCCTTCTCCCTTAGATTTTTTGTTTTTGTTTGGTTTTTCAAGACAGGGTTTCTCTGTGTAGCCCTGGCACTCTGTAAACCAGGCTGGCCTCAAACTCACAGAGAGCTGCCTGCATCTGCTTCTGAGTGCTGGAATTAGATGTGTACACCACCACTGGCTGGTCATTATCCCTTAGTTTTAAACAAAGGTCTGCATGAAGTGGGTTTCTTAGCTGAGCTTACAGTGCTGGAGGCTGTGGCCAGGACTGGGTACATGCCAAACACTCCATCACTGAGCTGCTTCCCTAGCCTTGATTTGTTAACTCTAACAAGGGGCAAATGGTTAAAAGCAATGACTCAATTCTTTTTGGTTTTATTTTGTGGTTTTTGCAGAGCTGGGGGATAAGCACTCTATAGCTAAACCATACCCCAAGTCCTCAATTTTGTTTTTTACCTAACCTTACAAGTGAAGACAAAAACCAACTCCTTATTAAACTTGGTGGTGTTAATACAGTGAAGAAAGTTATGCAAAGATTATTTAACCCCTTCTTCCATTTTCTTTGTGTGCTAGGGTTACAGAGGTACACCACTGTGCTCAACTCCATTACTTGAGCTCTGGGGATGCAAACTCAGGGCCTTAGGCTTATAAGTAAGTAGAAAATCAACAACTCCATATCCCCAATCTCCTGTCACTTCCTTACATAAAGTATGTATTATATGTGTCCAAATGGTCCTTGAAATAAATATTAATATTAGTAAAAGAAACCATAAATATTAGAATAAACACCAAAAAAGAAACTAAAATGGTAAACAAATGCTTTCTTTTGACAAACATTTAAGAAACATGTTTAGTACAAAAGATCAAACTACGGAAAGAGTGAATCAAGGATCCTGAGGCATGGGTTGCTCCAGTGGTATTATACTCAAGCCTCAACATGGGCATACAGAACCCTGTATAATTGAAAAACCAGAGGTGAAAATGACAAGGAGACCAGAGCAGCCATCTACCTCTTTGTGCTTCATGTCCAGCTGACTCCTCAGGGTCTTCAGCTCCCGGTCACGGATGTCCAAACAAGTCTCCAGGGCGTGCGTCTGCCCTTCCCACTCAGATTTCTTATGAGCCACCATTATATCGATCTGTTTCATGAGCTCTTGAAGTTCTGCTTCACAGGATGTCAGAAATCCCCTACAAACACCAAAAAACTAAACACCACATATGCCCAAGAAGTTTCTCATCTTCCATGGTTTGTCATCTACCTGAAGAACTAAACCATCACAGAAGCACAGATCAGGGTGTCTGCACCCTTGCTCTTCATGCTGTCAACTGCAGACAGCTGATTACTCCACAGAATATCTTTCTCTCCTCTAGTGAGTAACCTAAAGCTGAAGTCACTTGGTGAAACACAGATGGGTGTTTTACATCTGGCTCTCCAAGTGAGACTTTCACTACTATTAACCACGGCTTCTAGGATATTTTAGAGATGTTTTTGGGAGAATCTAGGCAAGCCCGTGTCATGTCTCTCTCAGCCAAAATGAACAGCAAAATGGCAGCAAACAGGTAATTGTGCAGGAAAAGATACTTAAAAGAAAAAAACAAAACAAGAAGAGAAACTTTCAAAAAAGCAAGGTCTATTTCAATTATTTCTTCCACCTGTTATTGGGAACACACTGCAGCCTACCTCACTGCTCTCCACCCACTGATACCCTCTGAGCTGCAGGAGAAAACTCAGACTAAGATAGAAGCAAGAGTCCCCCTTGGTCCTGCTAGGTCAAATGATACACGGAGGGATGCCATCCACAAGTGTGCGGTGGTTCAACTTAGCATCTGCTTAAGAGAACCAGATTAAGTTTTTAAAGTGCGTCAGAAGCTCACAGTCAAGGACAAACTTACCCACTACGCCCCCGATTTTGTATTCCTTCCAACAAAGCCTCCATAGCCAAATCCCCTTTGTTCTGGCAACTGTGGGGGGAAGGAAAGAGAGTGAGAAAAGTCACTGTTCTGAATTCCAACACTCCAACCTAATGTGAGTGAAAGCACAGTCACATGACAAGACACAGAGCAGTGTAAGATGTCTATGGAAGCAAGGAGTATCATGTAAGAAATGCTAGCACCAAATACATTCAGAGAACAAAGTCCGAATTGCTTCTGGTACTATCCTGCAAAATCAGTGAAACATTATTCTAGGCCTTTTTTATTGTTGAATTTAACATAATTTTTGAGACAGGGTCTCACTATGTAGCCATGGCTAGTCTGGAACCAGCTATGCTAAGTAGAACAGAGTGGCCTTGAACTCAAGAGTCCAGCTGCCATCCCTGGTTTTCTTTCTTTTTGCTGTTTTTGTTGTCAAGATTTATTTCCACCCCCACCCCCCCAAGGGAAGAGCAGTCCCCCAGTAGTCCCCCACTGGCACAAATTATGCAGTCAAGTTTCCCTGATTTGGGGAAATCACAAGGGTTAGCATATCCAGAGTGCAATGGATAAGCCTCGCTCTGGGAAAACCACTTTCATAATCATGGTATCTCCCCTGTCAGGTAAGTTTTGGTTTTTTTTTTGTGTGTGTGTGTTTATGCATAGGTGTGTACAATGTTCAGGTACCCACAGAAGCCAGGGGCATTGGAGCCACCAAATCTAGGTGCTGGGAACAAGCTTTGCCATCTTCAAGAGCATTACATGTGCTTGGCTGCTGAGCTACCCTACCCCTCTATTCCCTCTATACCTACTTCTTAAAGAATGTAAGGGTGGAAAGTATTTTCTCTCAAGGGACAAAATGAGGAGTAAACTGGGACACTGATGACAAGAAAGCAGTTTTCACTCACACAGCATAGGGGGGGGGGGTTTGTTTGTTTGTTTGTTTGTTTGTTTTAAGCATAGGTTTCCTGAATTTTAAAACAAGAGCCATTCTAAAGAGGTTAAACTCCCTGGTCAGGGGCGAGAGAGATGGAGTCAAGAGCACTTGCTGCTCCTGCAGAACCTACATGGCTACTCACAATTATAGCTCCAGTTCTAGAGGCTGCAGCACCCTCTTCTGGCCTCCACGGGTACCAGGTATACACATGATGAGCATACATGCAGGCAAAACACCCACACTCATGAAACAAAATAAGGAAGTCTTTTTAAAAAGAACGTTTCCAGGTCATCCATAGACCCCACTGACTCAAAGACAGAGAAAGCTTCCTGCATCATACTCCACCCCCTGATATGTAAGTACAAGGTCAACAGCATTTTCCAGTTCCTTGTCTTTTGACACATTCCCCAACTCTTCACTCCAAATTACATAGAATTTGGAAATAAAGGTTTTGCACATTCCTTCTTCTTTCTAGACCACTGTCTCAAGGACAGAAAACCAATGTGACGCATCTCTGCAGTCCAGAGCTGAGACCAGTATTTCAACAGGGCACTGCTGAATGCCTTGGGTTGACCTCATCTCCCTTTGTCCCATTATGCAAACTGTTACAGCTAAAGGACTGCTGAGAAGGATAAAGAGAGGAGATGGAAAGAGAAACTCAAACAAAAGGAAGAGAAAGACCCTTGGATTCAGTGAGTTGTGCGGTAAGTTACTCTTTATAAATGCTCCAAATGTTCCCTGGCAGACCACCTTTCAGTCCTTAGAAAGTACCCTACTGGACAGGAGAGAAAGCTTAATGGTTAAGAGTGTTTGTTTGATTCCCAGCAGCCACATGGCAACTCTTAACGATCCATAACTTAGATCACTAGGCACAGATAAACATGCTATCAAAACACACACATAAAACAAATTTTAAAGAAGAAAACAGTTCCCTTTCCTTAAGCTTTCAAAGTTTCAACCCTGAATCAACTAAAAGGGTATAGAGATTCTGTCCCTCTGACCTAATGCTTTCCCCAAAATTGTATTTCTCTAAGAAGTAGATTACTTTATTCAACAAATTCAATGCTGTACAAACTGCTCTCTAAAGAGCAATAAAAGGCATACTCCTTCCCAAGGAATGTCCCAGTGTGGGACTGAAAAAGAAACAAAAATGTTCACCATCCCTGGCAACGAATGTAGGGACAGAGGACACACAGAAGGCTCCGGAGACGGAGATGAGAGGACTGGACTGGGAAAGCACAGCAGTGCGCTGTATCTGCACCTATTTCTACATGTTCTAACTACAACTGTGCGCTCTTCCTGCACGGAGTGGCAGCTCTTTCCTCCAGCTAGTGTGCTGATATATTTCCCCATGACCCAAAATAAAACCCTAAAGGAGAGGACTCCACTATCTCCCAAACCATGGTGACAGTCAAGTTACAATGGCACCCATGCCCTGCCTGCTCTGCTCCAGAACTGGGAGGCAGTAGTCAACTCAACACCAGACAGAAGCCCACAAAGCACCTCTGCTCTGCAGCTAAGCAGCTGTGTGTTGTAGGACTTCAGTTGTCCCATCTGCAAAATGAAGGTATGAATAGTAACTGCCAAAGTCTTTATTGCATCTTTATAATTATTTCTCTACAGTATTCTTAAAGTTATACCTCATTAGGTCGTGATTCTTAAACAGTAAGTGATCTACTTAAAAATATATAATTTGTTGGCATTTATGTGTGACACTGTTTAATAACAATGCATATAATCGATGCTAAACTTTAGTGACTGTTCACCTTATCTGCCTGCCTCTTACCTGTTCTATCTGCTGTACCCTTGTACAAGACAGGTGCTATAAGTAGATATTACATACAAAGCAAAGGATAGCCAGGCAATAATCCACAACCCAGAGAAGCTAGGAAACTAGGAGGGACACACATGGAGGGCCCCAGGAAGGGAAAATAGTTGAGATCTCCTGGGTAAACTGGGAGATGGGTAGAAGGGAGGGGATGGGGGATGGGAACATGAGGGATCAAGAAGATGGAGTTGGGGGAGGAATAGAGGGGAAGAGCAATGAAAGAGAAATCTTGATGGAGGGAGCCATTATGGGGTTAGGGAGAAACCTGGTGCTAGAGAAATTCTCAGGAATCCACAAGGTCGATCCCAGCTAAGACTCCTAGCAAAGTCGGAGAGGGTGTCTGAACAGCGAACAGCCCTTCTCCTTCAATCAGATTAGTGACTACCCTAATTGTCATCATAGAACCTACATCCAGTAACTGATGGAAGCAGATGCAGTCACCCACAGCCAAGCACTGGGCCGAGCTCCTAGAGTTCAGCTGAAGAGAGGGAGGAGGGATCTTATGAACAAGGGGGCTCAAGACCATGATGGAGAAAACCATGGAGACAGCTGAGCAGAGCTAATGGGAGCTCACAGACTGTGGCCACAGCTGGGGAACCTGCATGGGACTGAACTAGACCCTCTTGATCTGTTGGAGGGACCCCTAGCAGTGGCACCAGGACCTCTGAGGGGCATGAACTGGCTTTTCAGAGCCCATTCCCTATGGAGAGATACCTTGCTCAGCCTTGATACAAGGGGGAGGGGCTTAGCCCTTCCTAAGCTTGGTATGCCAGCCTTTGTTGATTCCCCCTTACCCCTAGGAGTGGATGGGAGGGGTAGGAAGGGAGTAGGTGGGAGGCGGAAGAAGGGAGACGGAACTAGGGTTGGTATGTAAAATGAAAAAAAAAAAAGACAGGTGTTAGAGCTGGAGAGATGGCTCATCAGTTGATTAAGAGCACTGACTGCTCTTCCAGAGGACCTAGGTTCAATTCCCAGCACTCACCACATGGCAGCTCAAAACTGTAACTCCAGTTTCAGAGGACCCAACACCCATATAAACACCAATGCACTGTGTGTGTGTGTGTGTGTGTGTGTACATATATACAGAGAAATATATATATATATATATGTATATATATATATATATATATATGAAGACAAGTGCTATCACTTTGAGAAAACAGTCTTAGAGGGCAAGATGACTTGACTATGGAAAGCTACAGGCTATATTCCTAAAGTTCAAACCAGACAATGTGACCCTCTGGTTCAAGCAATGTGTCATCTTTTAGATCACGGGGCCTTAGGCTTAACAGCACCTTCTCAGTGGAAACAGAATAAAAGGGAATGTAGCGCCTTATGACCACTAGGTGGCAGCAGCACTGCGATAAAGCTGTTCAGGTGTAAGGGAAGCCACTGCTCAAACTGAAACCCTAGGGCTGAGACAAAGGAATTCTAGTTTACAACGGGCACAGACGATCAGCAACTAGCTAATGTGAGGTGTGTTTCCTTAGCAACAACCTCTGCGCCAGTTTCCATTCTCTAGGATCAGATAAACTTCGAGGCCTCAGACTTCCTGTGGACATTTGGTTGTCCAGTTTCTCAGAGCCACAACCCTGATTCTGTCCCTAACTGACAGACAAGTTACTTGCTTCCATTTTGATGGTGCCATGTGACACAAGACTGTGTAGCAGAGGAGTCCTTGTCCCTAATACGCAATACAGATTTAAGTAAAAACTGTTTGATGATTCCTACCAACATCAAATGCTAACATGGGCTCCGCAGCCAGCCAACAGGCGGAACTCAGTATTCACAACAACCTTTGAAGGTTGAAAAGGAAAGTACCCGCTCAGGACCCAATAAGACCAAGTTCTCAGCACAAAGGAGATTTATTTGCCCCAGAGGAACAGAGGGCAGGGGAAAAGAGTCAAAGACAGGAGACAGAGGATGAGGGAGAAGGGGAAGGGAACGGGGGGGGGGGGGGGGGGGGAGATTTTGTCCCAGAGGACAAAGGACTGCCTCTGGATGGAGAGGAGGCAGATGTGGCCCATAGGCAAATGGTGGTTTATGAAGGAAAAGGGGAAACCCTGTGTTCGGATGAGGGGTTTAATTTTCATCGGGCACATTAATCAGGTGGTAGCTGGACCTTGGTAGTCAGCCTCAGGAGGGGGAAGTGGCCAAGAAAGGGAATATACCTTGGTGCCTTTAGGAATGTAATTTAACGTATTTTACCAAGACAGAGAGAATGAGAGAAGGTCAAGGCCTGCCAGAGCCACATGATCGAGTGAGTTAGTGTCCCTTCAGAGGCTGTTTTCAGTCACACAAACCTGGACCTGAATGGTTAAAGGGGGTGCAGTTTTTTTACCATCAAGTCCAGAGAGCAGGAAACACACACTCTAAGTGTCAAGGGTGAAGAAACAGAAATAGAAGGCCTGATCATGCCAAAGCTTTGAAATCCACTAGCATATTGGAACTTATGGGACAGAAGGCACCATAGGCCTCTCATTTAGCCCCTTCCCTTTACAGGTAAAGGCGAACGATCCAGAGTACGCATTAAAGGTCACGATGCAAAATGGAGCACAGAAAGAAAAAACTGAGTAAATGTGTAAATGTGTAATGCTAAGACAAGGGCATGCCACCTTAAGTCACCTTAAAGGAGAACAGGAATGGCAGTCACTCTGCCAGCCTTAGCTGTGACAGACACACTACACTAACAAGCTGAGCTCTTCCAAAGAACGATCAACACTGTTCCTTGTTTGCCAAAAAGCTGCTCCCCTTTGGGTGCGGGGTGGGGGGGGGGGTTAGAGAAACTTTTCAAAATAAAGATGAAAGTTTTAAAAGATTGTCAAACTGTGACAAAAATTAGGGGAAAAAAATTACAAAGACTGAGAAATGTGACTACTTAAATATTAAATGGAAAAACCCACAAGGAAAGCCTTAGAAATAGTTTTACACTAGGTAGTGGTGATACCCACCTTTAATTGTCACACTCAGGAGGCAGAGGCAGGTGGATCTCTGAATCAGAGACCAGCCTGGTCTACACATCAAGTTCCAGGACAGCCAGGGTTACACAGAGAAAAGTTTTACTATAAAAGGTTAATTACTGAAGATATAAATAACTTTCAAGAAATCTTTAAAAGAAAAAAGATAGCTATAGAAAATGGGTAGGAGATAGGAACAATCAGTCAACAGAAAAGGAAATGCACATGGCCTTAGTTTAATGAAAAGATGTTTAGTCTCGCTTACTGGAAAAATAAAAAAGGAAATGTATAAAGGGCATTCCCTGCAGCATTATTTATAAACTATGAAATTCAGTACATATTTATTCACTGAGGTAATACTATGGAGCTGTAAAAAGAGTTAACACTATATCCTTTATGGAGGGATCTGTTAGAAGGGAAACAGCAAGATACCAACAGTAAAAGGAAGGAAGTGTGTTTGCCTTGGGTGCTTATTTACTAAGAACAAACTGAGAAACACTATACCTATAAGGAGGGGAAATAATCGTGGTGGAAGGAAGAGACGGGGACAAAGCTGGCCTGCTACAGGTAAGTCTGGATTTATGTTGTTTTACAGGCACTGTGCTGATGTTTTATAACTCACACATAAGAAGGAAAAGAATCGGTACTGAGCTGGACATGGTGGCTCACACCTGTAATCCTAGCACTTGGGAAGTGGGAAAGATCATACGTTCAAGATCATCTTTGGCTACAGGGGAAGTTGGAGGCCAGTCCGGACTACATAAAACCCAGCTAAAGCAAACCAGAAGGAGGAAGCTATCAAAACTATGGGACTTGAAGGGTTCCTACTGGTTGAAAACAAAACAATCTGAGGCATCAAAAAAAAAAAAAAAAAAAAAAACTGCAACTGTTCAATTTGAACACAGTAAGGTCTATCTGTTGTTTTTTAAACGTAAAACCCTCAGGTTACCTCTGGAAGTTAGTAGGCCACAGATTTAAACATATTAAAGTCTATCTCTTGGTTTTAAAGGTAAAGCCTTCAGGTTACCTTTGAAGGTTGCCAGGCCACCAATTCATTGCTGTAGTCTGAAAAGGAAGGAACAGAGTTAAGCATTTTTCTTGCCGTTCCTGTCCCCGCTGTATCTCAGGGCAGTCAGAAAGCTGTGGGAGGCAAGTTCGTCAGCAGTGCCAGCTACCAGAGCACTGAAGACATGACACAACTAGGAACCACCACTCTGTGGCTGCGGTGCAGTAACAGACCCGGGCCAAACCAGCCATGAAAGAAACATCCCCTATTAACTGAAAGGCTCATGAGCAAGTTCATGGTGGGTCAGCCGAGCTGACAGCACAGGAACCCTACACAGCTGACTGTAACGTCCCAAATGGGACGACTCAGGCATTACATGTCTCCCTGACAATGAACGCAACAGGTAACTTTCATAATACAGAACCTACACCTATGGCATTTTTCTTGTGCCTCCCATCAAAAAGAGAGCAAGGCTGAAACCAACACTTCTGATCACTGTATTTCAACAGAACTTTGTGTGGTTATGGAAACATTTTTAGCTACATTACTCCAACAGTAGCCACCAGGCAACCTGGGACTGTTGGGTGTTCCAAATGTGACTAATGCAACTGGGAACCAAACTTTTATTTCATTTAAAATAGCCCAGCTAGCTGATGACTACCACACTGGACAGGGCAGTACAGTGCAGGACAGGCCAGAGGAAGTAGGGGCACGTGTTCAAAAACACACACAACGGTGAAGAGAAACGGGAGGTCACAAAACTGCTATTGGTTAGAGGGTTTAAACACCTAGCAACCCAACGTAGCAGACAGAACTCTCTGCAGAATCCTGGTGCAAACAAGGTATTGCAAGCACATATGGAGTTACAGCAGAAAGCTGACCCCACTGGAGAGTGGCATTGTGTATTTCTTATGAATCTGCACTGTTATAAAAGTAGTACTATGGTTTTGTAAAAGCAAATCCATCCCCTGGCATGAGAAGCATCTTAGCTAAGACAGCTAGAGGGGTAGGGGGCATATTAGCTGTGATGGTGTGGACTGATGCTGTCTCAGTCAGCTCCTACACAGTACTTGAGGGCAGGAAGGCTAAGTAAAGGTCCTCTACTGCTCCATGGGAGGGAGCAACACTGGCATAATTAACAATACCTATATGATTGTTAAAACTTCAGTATGCACACATTTTAAATGGCCTTGTGTCTGAGTTTGTAAATCTCTAACCCATTTTGGTTGTACAGCCTCCTTCATTATACTGATCACTAAAAGACAAGAAACATGGGACAAAAATTAACCTAAAGATGGTGCTGCATTCCAAATACGGAAACTAGTTTTATCATACATTAAGCTACGAACTTTAACAGTAAGTGTAGCTTGTCACGGTGGCTCATGCCTTTAATCCCAGCACTCAGAGGCAGAGGTAGGTGGATGTTGTGAGATCCAGGCCAGCCTGGTCTACAAGGCGAATTCCAGGACAGCTAGAGCTGTTACACAGAGAAAAAAAAAAAACACAAAACAACAAAAAAGAGTAAGTATAAATAGCTAAAGATTCTTTATATTCATTGATCCTTTACTTACATACAAAATATAAACAAAATACAAAATTAAAATGCCGGGATTCGAGGAATTGAGAAACTACCCTGCATTATGAAATAAATTTTAAAAATCTAAATTAGCCTCAAGAAAGACAGCTTAGAAGAACAATCGAGGTGCCTCGGTTCCTTAATCCAGGAGGCAGAGGGAGGCAGAGGGAAGCAGGCCCATTTCTGTGAGTTTGAGGCAAGCCTGGTCTACATAGTGAGTTCGGGCTCCCCCACTCCGTCCTGCCAGGTTTTCTCTGTGTAACATGTAACAGCCCTGGCTGGCCTGAAACTCACTTTGTAGACCAGGGTAGCCTGGAACTCAGAGATCCACCTGCCTCTGCCTCCCAAATGCTAGAATTAGACCCTGATTTAGAGGGAAAGCAGGCGCTGGGCGGGGAGGGTGTACTTTGGGCAAATAAGTGTACAGTCTATAAATGAGACAACAGCCTGATCTAACTCCGCTATTTTGTAAAGGACAAAAGCCCTATTTGCCATCCAGATTCACTGTCAAGTGTCTCGGTGATTAAAGCTGCCCATTCAAAACTTCCACTCTCCCAATCTTGTTCCCGACGCTTAACATGAAGGCCTTCTGCAAATCCCCTTGCATCCCCTGCATCGGGGATCCCGCCACGCTTCCGCACTTCTCCTACTAACATTACCCGGGAACCCTGCGGGCTCCCCGCTGGGCTGCTAACCCTAAAGCCTGATCGTGCGGCAGTGGCGGCGGCAGCAGCAGCCCGCAGCCCGTCCTCCCGCACGCCTCCGCCGAGGCCGCAGCACCTGGCCGGCCGGCACCGAGCTGCACATGGAGTAGTCGGAGAAACCCTGGCCTACGGTGCCCGGGCATCCGCAGGCAGGCAGTACAGGGCCGGGCTGCATGAGGGCGGCGACGGGCGGCGGCCGCGGGCCATGCGGCCGGGAAGCCAGCGGCACCACGGTGGCCAGGGCCGCGTCCGCACAACAAGCCGCGGCTCGCCCGTCTTTGGGGCACGCAGGCGGTTACAGAGCGCGCCCCCGGCCGAGCGCGCCCCCGGGGCCTGATCGCCGTTCCTCGGGGGCGCGCGCGCGTCACAACACACGGACGCTCGCCCCGCCCCCCACAGCAGCAGCGAATGGACTCACCCACATACGGGGTATGAGAGCGCCGCGGCTCACGTGACCCGGAGGAAGGGCGGGGCCGGGAGCAAGCCGCTTCGCGCGCTGTGGGTAAGGGAGTCTTTTCGCGCCGGCGGCCCGGGTTTCTGAGGGTGTCCCTAGCGTCCGCCCTAGGCTTCGGGCGTCCAGTGCTTCCAGAAGCGCAGGCAGGTGCTCCAACCGACCTTCAGAGCCATTTCCTTATTGCACGCCTGCGGAGTGGAAAGATGCCCGCATGGCGACGCTCCACCTCCCCTTTGCACTTCCGCGTAAGCTATCTCCAGCCGGAAGCGGTTCTGCGTCTGGTGACTAGGGATGGTGGCCAGCGAGGACCAATTTTAGTGTCGGCGCCGTGCTTTTTAGCTTAGAATTACATTTACAAAGCTATATATTTCGAAAATGCATAGAACGTACGCATCTAATATCTGGAAGGATATGTCTGGATAGTGTGACAAGCTCTCCTGTTGCCACGCGTTGTGCCCAGAGATCTGGGAGACTGGTGAAGAGATGGGCTCTTCGAACTCGCTCAGCTTGGGGTCTAAAGGAGGACAACCTGAGAGTTGAGGGTTTTGTATTATTGGGCGTGGGGAGGAGTACACGTGTAACAATTATATGTAAGAAACCCGGAGAGGTTATAATGTGCGGTAAGGGCTTGGGGCAGTGACCGTAGCCTGGGCATTGCCTGTGCTGCTTCTTTGTTCATGTAAAGGGGAGAACCCGAGTGCCTCACCCAAAGTTCTGTCATCATCGTTGGTTTTGGAAGGACGGCCAGGTTATTACCGATGAAGAAGTGCACGAGGTGGATGAAAAGCATGCCAGGTTGCAAGCGTGTAGACGAGGGACATGTTACAAAATACTGAGGCCAACTTGTGGAAAGATCGGAACTCACTGGTACAGCTTTTACTAGTTACCACTGCAGACAGAAGTACCCTACCAGTCCGTCACAAAGCAGACCTAACTTGTTTCATAGATTAGTTAAAGCAAACAGCCAGCTTTCGAGGACAGAAAGCCTGTGTAGACCTGAGAAAATCCGTGGGAAAGGAGTGACAGGAAAGTTAGAAAACTTGTGGGATTCTGGAAGTGTGAGTAGAACTGACAGGAAGGATTAGTTAGACATTCCTGCAGATGGGATCCTTCAGCTACCTCTGCATTATCCACTGGCTGGATGCAGTGAAATCTAAGTTAAAAAGATAAGCCGTCGTCACCTGGCTCCTAGGTGCAGGAGGAGCTGCCCACTTTTTGCTTCATTGTTTGTGTATGTGCAGGACTTGAAGGTGGTGGAGTTTGTGCCTAGAGGTGGAGTGGGAGGTGAGTGTAGAGGCCAGAGGTCAGCATCAGTGGCTTCCTCTTTGAATCTTTCACTAAACCTGGAGCTTTCAGATTCAGCGAGACTCCCTCCCCTGGCAGTCTCCCAGAGACTGTCTCTGCCTCCCACCTCTGGGATGGCAGATGTGTTCCATTGCATCAGGCTTTTTATGTGGATGCCAGCAATCTGAATTTGGGTATCCGTGCTTGCAGAGCAAGCACTTGACCCACTGAGTTGTCTTCTGTTTCATTTTTGAAAGGAAAAGCCGTTCCCCACCCCCAAACCAGATGGGATAGTGCTAGCTTGCCTTTAATACTGTCGGAGGCAAGCACATACTTTTATGGCAAAGTTAGACTCCTCTCCCAAAGGTTGTTTCTTACGTGAGTCTCCCCCAACCCCCCTCTCTCTCTCTCAGAAATGGAAGAGTGCCTGAGAAAGCCACTGTGCTAGTAGTTTCAAGGCCTTCTTTGGGTTGCCACTTTGTAGCAGGGAGTACAGTAGGGCTTGCTTGTGATAAGGAACACAGTTGGAAGCTGGAAACCCAGAAGTACTCCATGATGACTAGCCTTGCAAATTAGATTGCAACTGTTTCAGGAGAAAATTGCTGGATGATCTGTGGTCAGGGATCATTTGGACCAGGCCCTGAAGAGGGCCAGCAAGATAGCTGCTCAGTGGCATAAAGGCATTTCCTGCCAAACCTGGCAACTGAGTTCAATCTCGGGACCCACCTGGTGGAAGAAGGGACTCATTCACCCCAAGATGTCTTTTGACTTCCACATATACAAATTCATTTTATATATATATATATATATATATATATATTTTTTTTTTTCTTTAGGAGGAAGAGGGCTGGGTGTTGGGAACACAACACCAAGGTCCTTGCACCCACAGATCTCCAGGGAGACTAGAAATCTTCAGCATGCAGGATTGTCTTTCCAATGGGAGAGATGGAAAACCTGTTCTTCCATTCACAAAACTGGGAATTGGAAGTGGTATCTGTGTTGTGTGTTGGGCCAGGCTCCCACAACCAGAACAGGAGACCCTTATATTGTCTATATAGCCAGAAGCTCCCCCAAGCCCCCACACCAGGGCCAGAGGTGGCTAATAGCCCAAATGTCCTTTATGCTTTCTGTATGACTGAGACATAGACCAGGCCAGACCCTTCCTTAGGCCCTTAAGCTAGTTTAGATAGCCTATCTGTAGAACCCAGCTTCTTGGAAGAAATGACATGTACCCTGAGTCAAGTTTTGTTGTAATTAGACTTCCTTGTGTGCTGGGGATTATATTACACCAAGGAACTTTTTTCCAAATGATGCTGTGTTTAAATTTGTTGGGACTAAATCAACTGGTGTCAGACTCCACAAGTGTGATCCAGGTTGACAGAGTCAATCTGAACCCTGTTTCCATTCTCACTATTTCACAGTTTTCTTCCCTGCCTGGGTACCTGCAGGCCCCCCACCCCTCTTGGCCAGAGGTGTAGGTCAGTTGGTAAGGTGCTTACCTAGTCTATAAAAAACCCTGGTTTCAGTTCCCAGTACATCGTAAAGCAGATAGGCCACACGGGGGGGGGGGGGGGGGGGTAGGAGGGTTAGGAGCTTACGGCTGCTTTTGGCTACAGAGAAAGTTTGAAGCTCTGTCTCAAAAAAAGAGGAGGAGTGCTAGGCAGTGGTGGCACACACTTTTAATCCCAGCATTCAGGAGGCAGAAGTAGGTGGAGCTCTGTGAGTTCAGGGCCAGCCTGGACTACAGAGTGAGTTCCAGGACAGCCAGGGCTACACAGAGAAAGCCTGCTTGCAAAAACAAGAAAGAGAGAGGGAGAGAAAGCCCAGAGGGACACAGCCTGGAGCTGCCATCACTGATCGTGGCGTACTACTTTCAGAACTCAGTCTGGATGCTGTTGAAGAAAGGAAGTGGTTTCCTGGGTTAGCAGCTGCCCACATTGTTCCTGCTTTAAGGGTCAGCAGTTGGTCTATGATTGGTCACATCCAGCTCAGTGTCACCCTCAGCTCCTGTACCTTAAGAATGCTAAGGTATGAGCCAAGGCAGGTGGAGATTTGTGCCAAACCATGGGGGCAGGCTTGGGGAGCAGATGAGACTCATCAGACATTACAAACAGGGAAAGACTGTATGCCATTGTAAGGAAAGCTACCATTAGATGCAGGGCCTTCCGGGGCTTTGTTCAGAAATGTGTTGCTCTCTGTTACACTGGGAATGTATCTGTCAACTAGACTGCATCCACACACCATCAAGCATTTGTCAGCTGAAGAGGAAAGAACTGTGGTCTTTTATGTTGTCACCTGACCCATATAAGATGGGCCTTTCCTGGAATGGTGTTAAGAAACAAACTACGATAACAAAACCAGTTTCAAGCTAGAAGTATGGGGAATCCTGGTACTAGGTTATACTGTACCCTCATTATGACCTCTTTGGCTTACAGAACTGACTAGACCAAAGCTGCAGGAAAATGGACAGTGAGGTACAACGGGATGGAAGGATCTTGGACTTGATTGATGACGCTTGGCGGGAAGACAAGCTACCGTATGAGGATGTTGCAATCCCACTGGTAGGTTCTGATCCAAGCTCAGGACAATGAGTCGGAGATGTAATGGGGTGGAGCCTCATGGAGGCTGCTGGAAGGTGAGATACTAGAAATCCACGCTGTGGCATCCTTTAAATCTAGAAGCCTCTGGAGAACAGTTAGTTCATCTCTTCATGGCTCAGAGAACTGGCTGATGTGACCACCTTAGTTAGGGGTCATTCCAGGGCTGGAGCCCAGATTGTCAGAGTCATGTTGTAGTGTCATCCAAAGCCAGAGATGAGCCAAGCGTGAGTTCAGTGCATCGAGCAGAGGACCAAGGGACATGTTTGTCCTGTTTCCCTTCTGGCTTGTCAGTCTTGGTTTGATTTTGTCTTAAGATTTATTTTGTTTTTATTTATGTGTTTGTGTGTATATGAGTGTCTGCCACTAATGTGGGGGGGGGGAGGAAGACAGAAGAGGGATCAAGCCCCTGGAGCTGAAGTTTCCGACGTTAGAAGGCACCTGATATGGGTGCCGGGAACCACACTTGGATCCTCTGGAAGATTAGTGGAGCAGTAGGTGACCTTACCACTGAGCCATTCCCCCCCCCCCAGCCTGCTTCTGTTTGCGTATGCTCTGGTGTCTGGGGAGTGGGGAAGATGAGACACGTAAGCACAGGTACCCTCAGAGGCCAGAAGAAGGTGTTGGATCCCTTGGAGTTGGAGTTAAAGGCAGTTGTGAGCCACCCAGAGTGAGTGCTGAAAACCAGTTGTGTCCTCTGCAAGACCAGTGTGAGCTCTTAGCCCCTGAGCTGTCTCTCAGCCCCTCTGTTGGTATTTCTGAAAACTGATCCGCACCCATAGGCTAGTCTCCAGGAGGTGCTTAGAGGCCGCCTATTATTTCTTCTTTGCACTTTAGACATACAAGCTCTCAGAATACCTTTTCTTTACTAGCTTCTAGAAGAATCCCTTGAAAGGCAATGAGTGTGATAAGTGACCCCCTCACTTTTGCTTATATAGATTTTTGTTTGTTTGTTTTTGTTTTTTGAAACAGGGTTTCTTTGTGTATCCCTGGTTTTCCTAGAACTTACTCTGTAACTAGGCTGGACTTAAACTCAGAGAGCCGCCTGCCTCTGCCTCCCAAGTATGAGGATTAAAGGTGTGCACCACCACTGCCCTGTGTAGATGGTTTTTTAAAACTCTTATTGATGTCACAGATGCCTAAAACAGAGCCTGGGGACTTTCTCTGTACAGCATGCTAAATGCACTAGAAGAGCAGCTAACACCGTATGACTTCCAGGAGCTTTGTCTGCCACTGCTGCTTTGCAAAGAAAACATTCAGCTCACCTGCACTCTCATTCAGGAATGAGAGGAGGTGATATGTGCAGTGGATATTCAAGTCACTGCTCAAGTCAAGTTCAGGGCAGTAAAATAAGAAAAAAGAATTATAGCTGCCATTTATTACCAGTTTTAAGCCATAGACTGAAGTTAAGGCTTCCATTGTCTATACTCCCTAAAACAACCGCACCGGGGAGGTAGTGATGCCTCCATTTGGCAGGGAAAAAAGTAGGCTCAGAGAGGCACACTTAACCCAAGTCTAGTACCTAGTAAGTCAGACTTCATGCCTCAGTCTGCAAAGCTCAAATCTGTAAGTTTCTATCTGTCAGATAGTCCGTCTACCCATCCATCCATTCATCCATCCAACAATCACTTCTCTAAAGTCTGCTGTGTGCCCTGAGGTTATCTGAGCATAAGATAAAGTTCCTGTTTGGGGTCAGGAATCAAGAGAGGCGAGATGTGCTTAATAACTAATTACAGTACCAAGAAGGGAGTGGAGAGTGGCTGGAGGCCTGGCATGCCGCAGAAAGGCTTTGGAGAAGATGTAATGCTTAAGAAAACCAGACGTTTAGTGCTAGCAATATCAGAGGGAAGCGCAGAGCCGTAGAGTGCAGGCCCAGAAGTCCCCACGGCTGCATCCTGCTGATGAGAACACGCCAGTGGCCAATGCAGATGCACAGTCAGCCAACAGAGTCTGCCGCTGCAGCTGCTGGCGCAGTGTGTCCCCATAAATGTTATACTTAGGGTATTCTGTGTCAGGTGGGCATGTTTTGTGCTGTTTTATGTGGTGTGTTCATTACAAGAAGTAATAGTCACCAAGTGAAGAATCCGTCATTTTAGGAAGCCTACTACCCTCTTAGAGGAAATGAAATTAAAGCAGTGTCCTACCTCTTAGAATTAAGTAGTTCTTAACCAAGGGCCTGTGACCTATAGATAATTTGTGACCTATAGATAATTATTAATGTCAGATTTCTTTTTTTTTTTTAAGTAATTCATTTGTTTTTATTTTATGTGCATTGGTGTTTTGCCTGAATGTATGTCTTTGTGTGGGGGTTTCAGATCTTGGAGTTACAGACAGTTGTGGGCTGCCTTGTGGGTACTGGGAATAGAGCCAAGGCCCTCTGGAAGAGCAGTCAGTGCTCTTAACCACTGAGCCATCTCTCCAGTCCTAATGTCAGGGTTCTAATTTGACTAGAGAATGACAGCTCTCTGGCCCTACATACAGACTATTAAATCTCAGTTTACATTTGTAAAACAGATGCAGAGATGCATACACGTTTGGGTGTTTCTTGTGTATGTGCACCTGTGTGCACTGGCACACATGTAGAACTCGAGTCATCAGCCTTGGCAGCAAGTGCCTTTACTCACTGAGCCATCTTACTGGTCCCAACTCAAACACGTTTGTGCATATTATAGGTAAATATCATTTACTATAGGAACATAATTTTAAAGAGAAAAATACCTCCATATAGTATAAATAAGAATTCAATGGGAAACCCTAACTGAATATTAAGTGGCAGTTTGCTAACACAAAGTATAACTTCTGGTAATTGCAGAGAAATACATGGTACCGGTGAACTCTGGAGCCAAGCGCAGATTCAGCGGTAATAAATTCACATATATCAGGGAATGAGACGAGATTTTGTCTAGTGTGGTCCATGGCTTATCCCTTAGAGAATGGCTTTGGGATGTGTGTTAGTCTTCCCTGTGTTTTCCTACTAGGGGGAAGTCTCATCTGTTACATTTTTGGTGTCTCTCATCCAGCCCATGTTAATTGTCACATAAGCATTTTGGGTGTGGCATTTTTGGTTGTTGTTGTTGTTGTTACATCTCCTATATCTAAAAACACATTCCAGCAAATCTGATTGGCCTTTAAAGCACTTTTGAAAAGGTTCTGCATTGACTCTTGACTTTGGCTCGTGCTCATGAGTGCCATGGAACACTGGACACCCTACACAGTGCCAAGCAGTGGATCTAAATGTCCTCATTCTGTCCTTATCAAAGTCTAAGACGTGAAAAAGCTAACTTTTTCTCCCATTTGTGAGAAGGGAAACAAAGGTCCCATGAGTCTGAGTTACGTCACAAGCCAGGGGATGAATGGCACTCTGGGGCTGCAGTCTGCCCCTTCTCTGTAAGAAAACCAGAGTCACAGTGCCCAGTATTCTATGCTAAAAGGGGAAGCAAGCCACGCTGAACAGAACTTCTGGTAGTTTCCATACATCGTTGACTGTTTCTTTAGAATATGCCTGTCAGCCATGCTGTCTGTTCTGAGGACCTCGTGGGCTTCCTAATGCACTTGTGTTTTCAGAAGTAACTATTCAGCACCGGGTACACACCTGTAATTCCAGCTCCTGGGAGGCAAAGGAAGTTAGGAGAGCAGTCAAGGTGATCGCCGGAGAATGTGGCACAGTGGTGGGATGCTTGGGTGGCATGCACGAGGCCCCTAAGCTCAGTCCCTTCCAGTGCAAAAGCAGTGTCCCAGATGACATAGTGAGTTTGAGGTCAGCCTGAGCTACATGAGACCCATCTCAAAAATGTACAGAAAGAAAAAAAACTCCTGATGGTTGTTGTGGGTATCCTTCCCTTTCAGAGTGAGCTTCCAGAGCCTGAGCAGGACAACGGCGGCACCACAGAGTCTGTGAAGGAGCAGGAGATGAAGTGGACAGACCTGGCCTTGCAGTGCCTCCATGAGAACGTCCCACCTGCTACAAACTGACGCCAGCCAGGTTTCTTTCCCTTGGATAGAGTTTTCCAAAATACATAGATCAAGCATGTTCCTTCTCTGTCTTCGAATTCAGATCTTTGTGTAATAAATCAATACTCAAAAAACCTACACCCGCTTGATTTGTTAGCAACAAAGCGCAGCATGAAAGTATTCTCAATGAGAAACTGAGACTTCTCCAGAATACAGACTGTTGGCTCCCGAAGTCTGCAATTAGCCATTCACTCACTAGTGTTTGAACACCATAGAGTAACATTTGCCTTTAGCGCCAGTGCTGGCCACTTCAGTCGACGTTTAACACTTCTCAGCTACTTCCATGTGTCCTCCAGCACAGGAAGTTGAAATATGAGTGGGAAAGACAGAGAAGACGCCAGACTCTAAGAGACTCACAGACCCGTATCTATGTCAAACCTGAGAAGCAATGAGTGGAGGTAGCCTGCAGATGTGTGTGCCCCAAGCAGATACCCGACTCACTGGTGACTGGCATCATTCCTAAGACCCCCAGACTATTTTCAGACTCTGCATAAATGTACAGATTAAAATGTTGTCACTGAGGAGTTAGGGGATGGCTTGGTTGGGACCTAAGTTTGATCCCTAGAACTCCAGTAAAAACTGGGCTGAGTAGCATGATGGTGTGTGGTTGTTATCTGGGTTAGCTGTTAGTTACCTCTGCTCCCTGTCTGTGGCTATGGCCGTTGGGCCACCGTTTGAATGGAGCACTCCTTTTATTCAGAATAGTTAATGGCATCTCATATCTCAGAGCCCCTTCAAATATAAAACACCGTGGCACCGATAGCCAGTAGTGTATTTATACACAAATCTGTTGACGCTGGAGAGATGGCTCAGTGGTTAAAGAGCACTTGCTGCTCTTGTAGAGGACCTGGGTTCAGTCCCTAGTGCCCACCTATTAGCTCACATCTTCTGTGACCCCAGTTCCAGGAGTTCCCTTCCCCTCTTCTGGCCTCTGAGGAGACTGTACTTGTGAGGTTCATGTACACACATATAGGTAAGACACTCATACACATAAAAATAAATCTTATTTTTTAAAAAAAAAATCCATTTTCAACTAAGGTGATTTCAAAATTCACTTTAAAAAATACAGTTCTAAGCTGGGAGACAGTGGCACACATCTTTAATCCCAGCACTCGGGAGGCAGAGGCAGGCTGATCTCTGTGAGTTCGAAGCCAGCATGGTCTACAAAGCTACACAGAGAAACCCTGTCTCAAAAATAAATAAATAATAATAATGATAATAAAATACAGTTCTGATTTGCAAATAGAGAGGAAAGGACTAAAGGGTGGACACACCACAGCTTCCACAACATCTTCTTTTTTTTTTCTTTTTTCCTTTCTTCTTTCTTGTTTTGTTGGTCTGGTTTAGTTTTGTTTTTTTTTTTTTTCCAAATTTTGTTTTGGTGGGGAGGTTACAAGAGCGGAGGGCAGATACGGGGGTGGGGGGATGGGGAGATGAGTGGGATCAATCAGGATGCAAGATGTGATGATGTGAAGACAGCAAAGAATCAATCATAAAGTTAATTTTTAAAAATACAGCTCTGAGCCTGGCAGTGGTGGTGCATGCCTTTAATCCCAGCACTCAGGTGGTAGATATCTGAGTTCAAGGCCAGCCTGGTCTACAGAGGGAGTCCCAGGACAACCCTGGCTACACAGAGAAACCCTTTCTCACAAAAAAAAAAAAAAAAAAAAAAAAAAAAAAATTACAAATTAAGCTTGGTGGTGGTGGTGGTGCATGCCTTTAATCCCAGCACTCAGGAGGCAGAGGCAGGCCGATCTCTGTGAGTTCAAGACCAGCTGGTCTATAAGAGCTAGTTCCCAGACAGCCTCCAAAGCCTCAGAGAAACCCTGTCTGGAAAAACAAAACAAAAAGAAAAAAAAACTTCTTTTGATTTGTCTGATGGCCTTCTGGTTCATCTAAGGAGGGCCTCCATGCCCAAGAATAACCTGATTGGCCAGCTTGACCTGATAAAAACAAGTGTGGCTCATTGTGTCCAATTAAGTGCCCTAAACAGGGCCAATCAGAGACTGTTAACTCTGACTTTAGAATTGAGGGGAATAAACAAGAGAGGATAAGCTGGGGCTGTGGAGTGGCTTTCTTTCCCAAACACCCAAAAGGGAACGTGTCTATTGATAGGGGTTAAGAGGCTCTGTGACCCTTGGTGTATGCCACCTTCTCCATCAGATTGACACTACTGTAGTCATCTTGACTTATAGCCCCCATGACTGCACCCAGTAACCCTAACTGATTTTCCCTGCAAGGCTTCCTAGCAAACTCTAAGTAGATAAAACCATTAGCCATCTAGAACTTTATACCGAGACCCTGGCTCCCAGCATGGACCTGACCCTTGCATTATTTATTACCTTAAGGAAAACCATGTACTCCCCTGCCCTGACTTAAGTCACTTCTATTCTAAGTCTAAGTACGCCCCCCACCTTCTCACCCAAGTTTCAGAACCCACCTGGACTTGCTGTCACCAAGAAGCATGCTTCTGATATTAAGTCCCACAGTATATATGGCACTGTATGGAGGTGGATCTCTGGCTCTCTTCATTCTTGCTAAGAGAGAGAAGCGACCTTCTCTCTTGACCTTCATATACTAAGTCTGGACGTTTTGGGAGCACATATAGTAATCTCTATACTTAGTGCTAGGAATGTTGCAATTAAAAAAAAAAAAAAAGCATGGAGCCATTCCACACATCTTTAATCCCAGTACTCAGGAGGCAGAAGCCTGTGGATCTATGGGAGTTTGAAGCTAATCTGATCTACGTAGCAAGTTCCAGGCCACATAGTGAGATGAAAAGGGTCTCTGTTTCCATGGGATCTTTGTTTACTTAGGAATAAATCAATATGAAACCAATATCTGTACAAACTATAGACTCAAATTGCTTGCTTCTAGAAAGGATAAAGGATGTGACTGAGTTTGGGTCCCTAGAAGCAGAGCCTATAGAGAGGTGTCCTTTGCAAGTGTGATGGATCAAGAGGCTTCCAGAAGTCTGGAAGAAGCAAGGCAGACCAAGAAGAGCTGAGCAAGAAATGCTTTCAGCTCAGAGCCTCAGCCTCAGCCTGCAAGGACCCTGGACCATATGGCATCAAGCTCTCACTTCCAGGACAGATGGGTTGCTATGAATTGTCAATTGTTAGCTTCCAGCCATCCCCTGGAGACAGTATACACACAGCACTCCAGAGAAATGAGCTGGGTACCTTCCACAGCCTACACACAGTGGCTGCACACATACATACAGTGGTTACACACACCCAGAGAATGGGTGAAAAAATAGGGAAAGGGGTATTGCTGAGGTACAGCGAAAGTATATTTCATTTGTGTTAAAGAAAATGTGGGGCTGGAGAGATGGCTCAGAGGTTAAGAGCACTGGTTACTCTTCCAAAGGTCCTGAGTTCAATTTCCAGCAACCACATGGTGGCTCACAGCCATCTGTAATCTGGTCTGGTGCCCTCTTCTGGTGTTGAAGCAGACATGTAAGCAGAGCATTGTAAACACAATAAATAAATCTTTAAAAAAAAAAAAAGAAAGAAAGAAAATGTGACATTTTCACCATCACCTGATGTATGAGCCAAGTGGACAGGGAACACAGTAAGACGTGAATATTGACTACAGAGCTTTGTACAGAAAACTGTACAAAGCCCCAAAGTGGAACTGTTGTTACAAGCAAGGGACCTGCATGGGCAAGAGGCTTCTCAACATTTTCCTGAGTCATTGAAAGGTTTCGTCAGTGCTAGTGGACTGCTTGGTCTTTTGTTTTGTTTTGTTTTGTTTTGTTTTGTTTTGTTTTGTTTTGTTTTTGTGAGACGGGGTATCCTCTGTATAATCCATTTTGTCCTGGAGCTAGCTAGCTCTGCAGACCTGGCTGGCCTCGAACTCACCAAGTGCCGAAAGAAAGGCATAGGACATCACCATCCAGCTTTGGGTTTTGTTGTTGCTTGCTGTTCCTTTGTTTTTTTAATGTAAGTCACCCCTGATGTATGGATTTCATAAAGACAGTAAGTGCAAAAACAAAGGAGTTTTACACTCAAAGAGATTATGGTGGCTTGGACCAGCAAGGTGAAAGTGGAAACAGAGGCTCTTGGGATAGCTCTTCCAGGCAGACCTTGTCCAGGCTTGCCCGCTGTACAGAGAGAACCCTGGATTGTGGCTGTGTGGTCTTAAAGAGACTCACACGCAGTGTGAGCCCTGTTTTATAATCCAGGACTGACTTCTCTGAGTGAGACACAGGTATGCAAATACAATCTCTGTGCCCAGGGAAAACAAGAGTCCAGGAACAGCCCATCATCTGAAGTCCAGCTGAGACACACCCCTTTGTGGTGGGTCTCAGCTGGGGTAGAGGAAACACTCCCATAGTTCAAGGATCTCCAGCCTTGCCTTCTCTTTTTAGCTGAATGTCACTGTCCTTTCAACAGGAGATGGCAGGTTCTTATCATTCCAAGTTAAAATTCGCTTGTTGTGGGTTCAAAGACAAGTCTCTCAAATAATAAGTGACTTCCGACTCAAATTGTCACATTTCTAAACCCATGTCCTTCCAAAGGCCACATCAGTGCCCTAGAAGATCCCATCAGAATTCTTAGAATTTTCTCATTTGTCTTATTTCTAGAATGGAAACAGAACTGAGATAATTCTCATTAGGGACCTTAGATACGTTAAACATTAGATATTTCTATTTAATTACCAAAATAATATAATTGCCACGCACACAAAAATATTCTCACAAGCTTTCAGAGTTTGGTGTCAGTACCCCTTTTTACCCAGCAGGGGCCGCTCAACTCCTTTTTTTAAAAAATTATGTGCCCAGTTCCTAGTTCCTTCCCGTACCAAAGTCCTGCAAACCCAGTGGGAAGCAGCAAGGCCTGCAGGGCTGGCCCAGAAGGACAGCTGGGACCCAGAAGATGGACACCCCTAGCCTCTGCCTCTGAGCCAACCAGGACTGGTGCCATGACTGTGTACCCCCAGAAGCATGCATTTGGGCTAATGCTTGCCCCTTCTTAGCTTGAATCCCTCAATAGCCTTTAATTAAGGGCCCAGGTTTTCATCTTGCAAGTTTCTAAAGGTGATATAGTTTGCAATCCATCTGTTGTGGTTCTGTG